TAATCAAACTACCAAGCTTAGTAAGAGAAAAAAGCAAAGCATGCTTTAACTTGGTAGGATATCCTTTACTGTATGTGAGTTAGCTCTTGAATTAATATAGAATGCACACATCATTATGATGCTATAAAACTTTCATTGACATGCTTGAAATGTCAGCAGTACAGAAGAAGTTGGAGAAGCCCGATTGGGATAAGATGCAGAAGGCAAGCACCAGGAGCTAGGTGACTGTTGCATAGGTCAGAACATGACTAGCATGGAAGAAGATATCAATTCCAGGAAGAACTTCCTCAGCTTATGTTTCTCATTTCTCTTTCTCATCTGGTTGGAGAGTCAGTGTAGAAGTATGGTGTCCAAAATATTTTGACAGAAAATGTTTAGAAATTTAAGTGCTGACTGGTGTTTGATAGCTTCCAGACATAGTTACACATGGGAACTCACACAACATTGGGATAGAAGTTAGAGGCACAGGCTCAAACTTGTCTTTAATTAAAGTAGTTTGAAAGTGTTAAATTATCCAATATACTATTTCTAAAATGCATAAGAATTCATTCACCCTGTCTCTTCCTTTGAGAAACTGTAAAGTTTATGCATAGCTTTGTCTTAATTATTTCTCTGATCAGGAAAAAAAATGACTTTTGCTCTTTGTGTTTCTGTATTTTCATTTGCAAATTGGCTCAAGGTGGCACTGAATACTCCACAAACTATCTTCCATAGCTTACATGAAACTGCCAAACCAATATTATTTAGAAGATTAAGGATAGAATGAATTGACATGTGAGGTTTAATAGAGATGTTTTCATAAATATGTGGTATACAATTTAGTGAAAAGAAAGAGAACATTTCAGCTTGTAGTGATCAACTAGAGAATGAGAAGGTATGGTTAATAAGTTCCCTTAGTGAGAAGCAGTTCCCATAGCAAGTAGACCACAGATTGACAACAGGTGCTGTGCTCCTGAACCCTTGATTGACAAGTGGTACGGTGCTTCTGAACCCTTGATTGATGAAGTGTTGCTGTGCTTTTCAACCCTTGATTGACAAGTGTTGCTGTGCTTCTCAACCCTTGATTGACAAATGGTGCTGTGCTACTTGACCCTTGATGTGTATAGAGACTTGCACTAGTCTATACAATTTCTTCCAAGAGCCAAGTCTTACATTCTTTTTTTTTAAGATCTATTTTCATTCATGTATATTTGTATCTGTGTCTATGTGAATGTATGGCATGTGTTTATGGGTGTCCATGGGGATCAGAGCTGTTGTTAGATCTCCTGGAGACAGAGTTACAGGTGATTGTGAACCATCTGGTGAAGTGCCAGGAACTGAACTTGAGGTCTGTGGAAGAACAGTCATCGATCTGAACCACCTCTCCAACCCTGAGTTTTGCATTTGGAAAGTTGAAAAATTGGAAGAAAATGTTGATGTCACCCTGGAGAAGCAAAACCTACAGCTTTGATAGTTTAAACCTGAGTAAATGTAAATCATTTATCTATCCTCAATTTGTCATGAAATTATATTCCTCAGATCTCTAACACGGCATCAGCAACATCCCAATTTATCTTCCAGTTCATCACACTTAGAGAGTAGGAAAGCTTACTAATAACTAAAGAAGCAATGAGCATCAAGTGCTTTTTTTTTTTTTTTGACAAAGTGGGAAATGTGGTCATTTCATTGACTATGTATCTATGCTCTTCTAAAATATAATTTATTTTAGAATAAATTCTATTTGGCACGGATAATTCTTTACCAAAGATAATTTGTTTTTAAATAAAATTATACCATTAATTAGTCATGTAACTAAGTTATGTGTTTGAAAATTCACTGTAGTTTCTTTATTCTGAGGACTGTTAAGGTGTGTATAGACAGTCTAGACAATTATGGCTCCTCAGGAAATAAAGATGCTTTATCCTAGAAAACTCTCAAAGACAATGGAGAGAGTATAAGTGAGACAATTACATTTGCATGCTTTCCCCTGTTACACCTGTTTCAGTATTGGTACTGAAGGTATTTTATTATACCTTCAGTAGGTATAAGGTACGGACCATCACTAATGAAGGTCGGGGTACAAGAAGCTGGGTGAAGCCAGTTCCATTTTTAGCATCCTCAAGAACAGGATCAATGGATGCATGCTAACATTCAGATTTCTTTCTTCATTTGATGCAGGCCAGAATCCCCTCCCAGGGGGTAGTCCTACCTACAACTAAGATGGGTCCCTATGGATAGGCGTGCAAAGATGCCCATCACCCTAGGTGATTCTATACCCTGCCAAATTGACAGTTAGCACCAACCATCACATAGCTTAAGTTTTTATTGAATAAATGAATTTAATAGATTAATAAATGAGTGAAAAGTTTTACAGTGAAGCTGTAATTCTTCTCCAACACACCCATGTTTCTTTACTCTTGTTCCTAATTTCTTTACATTTTAGGAGTTTACCCATCAAAGTAAAATTCTTCCCACTTATTAAGGAGGGGAAAGAGAATAACTCACCAACCAAACTCCAAACATTTCCTTCACAAGTGAAGGCAGGGCTACTGTGGCGCATTGCATGCCTATGACTACTTTCTCAGGACTGGTATAGGAGTGTCTTTCAGTTATAGGCCAAGGACGCTTTTACACTGACATTTAAGTGATGTGTTTATGTGAATGCACCCTTCCACTGTAGGTGACATTAGCTTCCTATCTTCAGGAAAACCCAAATCAAAACAAAAATCAAAGCCTTGTTTGTTAAGACAGAGAACTCATATGTTAGAATGGTAACTATAAACACAAAAATGCTTAAAACACTCCTCTTGGTTTATTGAAAGCAAAAATCCCTGACATAGCATTCTGTTATTCTTTGTACTATGTGGTTAGGCTCTGTGCTTAATGCCCTAGACACCAGCAACATCTGCGTGCTGAAGCTCCAAGAAAAGCCTCCTCAAAATAGCTTTGTTTCGGACAATGGCGTTAATGAACTTTGGTAGGAACTATTCTTTTACGTCATGTTCAATTTTGAAACTTGAATGGAAAAAACGCTCATCTGTGGGGGAGCCAGTCACACAGAATTCTAAGCTCAGTCTTTTGTTAAAGGGCTAATGCTGCCAGGTAAGCACAGAATTCTGGGGGATCCAAATGTTTGCACATGCTCTTGCCAGCTTCCTGAACACAGTGGCTTGAACAGGGACCTAATACAGCTTCAGATGATCCAGGGGCGAGGCACAGCAGCAAACAGTCTGCCACATGGCAAAATATCTCTTCAAATCCAGACTTTGCTTTGAGTAGCTTACTTTAAGAATAGTCTCATCCATGTTCAAAAATAGCCCGATTTTACCCATTTTCTCAATCAAGGAATGCATTCTGATTACTTTGAAGTCCTTTATAGTTTGAGGGAGAAGTCCTTTCCTCAGTCAGGTCTCACTGCAGGACTTGATTCTCTAGTCCCTCGACTTTGCATAGTCAGCATCTAGGGCTTCTCCCTAGGGATCGGGGATGGAACCCAGGCTGCCTGTTGCTTTGTTGTCAGTGTTCTGACCACTGAGCAGCTCCATGCTCCTGGCTTAATCTGAATAACGGGATAGCAGAAGTTGATAAATCTACTTGCCCTGGTAGCAATTTCAGGTTCTAGATGAATGACATATCAGACAGAATTGATTTCTTAGTACAAACTTGCCTTATTATCACACACAAAGTCTTCAGTTTTCTTAGCAGGCTACTTTTGTGGAATGGTAGCTTCCCTACAATTCCAGGGCTAGCGTGAATATTTGTTTCTCTCTTCAGGCAGCCTTTTCTCATCTGGCTATCAGAGACTCTGAATGAAACAACAACAAAGGCTCCATGGCTCTGGTTGTGGCTCCTGGGCCAATAAACCTTGCACAGAAGCATGTGTGTGCGGGAGTCTTCATAAAAGCCTTCCTTATCAGATCACCCTCCCCTCCTTTTAAATTCACATTCTAATAGGTGTGAGTTCCTCTGATTCTGTAACCCTACTAGTTTCTCAAGAAACAAAACAACAACAAAAACAAACCAACAACTCACCCCCAAAACTATTGCTTTTAGAGTACTGGGCAAGGAAGGGCTGTAGACTTCCTCTTCTCATGCTAACGGAAACACTATAATTCCGGTACAGGTCAGTTCCTCTTGCTCACCATCCTCCACCTTCTGCTCAAAGTCCTCCACCTTCTGCTGATGTGCTCTTCCAAGATTTGCTTGCCTTTCTGGGTCGTGTGGCTTAAGTTGGAGCTATGTAGCTAATACAACGGACTTTCCCAAGTCTTTGTATTAGGAACAAAAGCTCAGACCGTTGGGATGAGAACTTCCATCCTAGGAGGCGTGTGGCTTTGTGGAAACCTGCCTGTCATGTGTGATCTTCATATAGAAGGATAGTGACTGTATTAAATCAGATTTAAATTAAGTCTCCTCCTCAGAGAATGCAACCCAGGGTCATTCAGGGGATCATGGTGTCCACCTTCTAAGAAAACTAGAAGTTGCTTCCGCTTGGAGGGGATAGACCAAAACCATTTCAATACTGGGTGTCAAGCTATGTCTAAAGCATATTTCAACAAAGTGAAAGGTTAATTTACTCTAAATCTGCTTTTTGCAGTGAAGACTCATGCTATATTTTACTGAGCAACAGAGTCTTTAGAATAGGATGCAAATGAAACCAGGTCTATGGATGTAGGAGAGTTTGGGTACAGGCTATGTGACCAGAGAACATGATTCTGGTTCTTTGAAGCAAAATGTGTAGTCTAGCTGCTTGTCTCTCTGTGGGGATTCTGTCAATGATGACGCTGGCAAATGAGAGTTCAGGGTATGAGTTCTGCTGTCTTTTTTGAGGGCAAGATATGAGTAAATCCTTCCATGGCACTAGGGGTGGGGAATTTAACTGTTGAGCTCCTATAATCCCCAAAACTTATGGCTGTATTCACCACCAGGACCAATGAGTGGTGAGGAATGTCCACAAGTTATCAGAGTGCAGCTGTGTTTAGATTGATTGTCATAAAGCAATGTTTGTCTTTGTTCTGCAGCCTCCGCCTCAGATATATGATAAGCAGCTGGATGAAAGGGAGCATACCATTGAAGAATGGAAAGGTGACTGTGCTATGCTAATATGTACACTTGCTTGACTGGAACACAGAATATAGAAATGATCCTACTGTGCTATGGTAATATATACACTTGCTTGACTAGAGGTTAGAATACAGAAAACGTCCTACTGTGCTATGCTAATATGTACACTTGCTTTACTAGAACTCAGAATATAGAAAACTTTCTACTGTGCTATGCTAATATATACACTTGCTTTACTGGAGCTCAGAATATAGAAACAGTCCTGCCATTTATACCATGTATTTGAAACAAAGAAACTCCGTGCAGCTTCCTCTTGTACAGCACCCTATTAAAAGTGATTTTCTAGTGGCTTGGTATGGGGCTGGTGTTTTTGCCGGGTATCTATAAGGTCTGACTTCAGTCTCTAGTGCTGTAATAAACAAATGAAATACAAATGGGAACTAGCTATTTTAAAATTTCTCAAACCTTATCTGCATTTATGTTAATAGAAATGCTATATTTGCTTAAAAATAAAATGAATTAATTATGGAGATCTTTGTAAAATAATATTGATAGCCAAAGTGTTTGTCATGATGTCAAACTCCATTTGAATACTTACAAATTAAAGTTCTATGTTGCTATATAAAATTAAAATTAAGTTTGAAGGCTAGATTGATGGATCTTCAGGGAGAATGCTATTCCTCCAAACCCCCATTTAACCCTGAACCCACATGTGGAGGGAGAGAACCAACTTCTCGAAATTGTTCCCTGACTATTCCTTCCTCTCCTAAATAAACAAATGAAACTTAAAATTAAGCTTGAAATGTACTTTAAATTTTTAAATTAAATATAGTTAACATGTAAATTTACAAAACTTACAAAATTTGAGAGTTTAGGCAGAATAAATGTGACCCAAAGAGGCTCATTCTTCCTCTCAATAAAAATAAAACAGTAAATAAATCAAGTTGTTTTTTTTTTCAGTAAAATTTATCCAAACTCATATTACAGCTTCAAAATTATACCTACGCTCAAACAAAATAGAAAAACAAGTTAAACCTATGAAGAATTGTTAGACTAACACAATTAACTACCTTGAAGAACAAATTTAGGGAATCCAAATACAGATGGTGTCACATGATCAAATTGAAATGGGCAGAAACATAAAAGTAAGGAGATTCTGAGTGACTTTTAAAGAAAGCATCCTGCAAGTTGGGAAAAGGAAAATACCAGATGGAGGCTACAAGGAGAAATCAAACGTTAGAAATAAGCCAAGTTATAAAGACATTCCACTGGTCAACGGACCATGTTGGTGAGCATGGAAAGGCAAAGCCCATGAACGTGGTATCAGGGAGAGACTGACAGCAGATGGTGGGCTCACAGGGCTACTTTGTCAAAGGGAAAGCACAAAGACATTCCTCAGGCTTGTGAGGTAGCACGTGGAAAGATGTAGACACTGAGAGCAGGACTTGCACAGAGCTGGAGGAGGGGGTGACTGGGAAGGATGGTGCTGCATAAGAGATAAGAGGGAATGAGTGAATCATGTTTAGGTAAGTGTGGGATGAATCAATGATGTTTAGCTAAGAGTGGGAATGAATGATATTTAACTGAGAGTAGGAATGAATGAATGGTGTTTAGCTAAGAGTGGGAACTAATGATGTTTAGCTAAATTCTGCAGCATGAAAGATCTGGAGGCTAATCTAAAGTTCAGAGAACTTGTCTCTAGGAAGTGAATATAAAAAAAGCTGAGAGCATCCAACAGCAAAGCCATTGGCTGGGAACACATCCTAGAAGGAGGGTCATATCCTAGCACACATGAGGCTTGGGTATGAACCCCAATACTGCAAAACACAAGCAACAAACAGAGGAACAAGCAATCAAAGTTGTTTAAATCCATAATTGACAGCCTGGGAGTGTAAGTAGGAGTCTATCACAATCAGTTCAGAAAATAGTAATTCATTTATTTTTAGATATTCATTTACTTAATTTCTGTCCTGAGGACCTGCTTTTGCTAAGTTTTGTGTTAAGACCAAGGAAATATAGAAATGGAAGATTAAAAATCCTCGGTGATTTAATAATCTATTCAATGCCACAAAAATGTTATTTCTCATTAGCTAGTGCATGGGCTTGTAGATTAAGGGAATCTTTGCTTTTCTGTTATAATAACATGGATGGTTATTTCTTACAGAACTTATCTACAAGGAAGTAATGAGCTCAGAAGAGAAGACTAAGAACGGTGTAGTTAAAGGCCAACCCTCACCTTCAGGTACTCACTCTCCGTGAATAACCAAGAAGCCAGTGCTCGTGTCTTCCCTATCCTTGATGGGTGTGGTCATAGACAATGTCTCTCACAGAGTCTGGAAACAGATATCACATGACCATTTCCCTATATTGCAATGTTTTGTCTTACTTTTTTAAACCATGCATTCATACTGGTAATTCTGGTTCTATAAGCCAGAACAGTGGTGATGTTTATTTTTAAAAATACTTTTATTTTTGAGATTGTAATATAATTACATTATTTCTCCCTTCCTTTCATGTACCAAACACTTCATGTATCCCTCACTGTTCTTTTTCAAATTCATGGCCTATTTTTTTGTTAATTGTTATTATATGCTTATGTGTGTATGTGGGAGAATATATATATATATCCCCAAATATAAGCAGCTCAATCTATGTAATACTACTTTTAGGTGCATGTTAAGGGCCGAGCATTTGGGATTGGATAACCGATTGTGCTCTTCCCCTTTCTCCTGCTCGGCATTCCTAATGGTTGAGGCCTCACGCAATCTCCCTTGTCCACTTTGGCACATCTATTGTTATTGTTCTTGTTCAGCTCATGTTTAGGAAGTAGTCATGTTGCTCAGACAATAAGGCTGCAGCTTCCGACGTCACTAGGAGACAGTCTCATAGGAAACTCCCTGATCCCCTGACTCTTACAGCCTCCCCACCCCCTCTTCTGCAGTGACCCCTGAGCGTTGGGTGTGTGCATTGTTCTGTAGATGTATCTGTTGGGATTGGGCTCCACAACATTTTGACTGGTTGTGATTTTCACTAATGGTTTCCATTTGTTGCAAAGAGAAGTTTCCTTGATGAGGGTGAGCACTCTACATATCTGTGGGCATAAGGACAAATATTTAGAGCATAGTTAGGGATTATGCTGGTTTAGTAAAGGAGAAACTGTAGCTTTTCCTCTAGGATCCGTGAGTTCACTAGCCCTGGGCAGTTGGCTACATATTCAGTACTAGGGATGATGTCTTCCTTGTTGGGTAGGTGTTAAGTCCAATCAAAGAGCTGTCAGTTACCACCAAAGTACACACGCTACTACTTCATCTTTAGTGCTGCTGGGCCACAAGGACCATTGTGTGGTTCATTAGCATCATACTCAGTAGGTCTTCCAAAAATGAAAGCTCATCTGCTATCATGAAAGGTGGTCCTCAGACAGGGCATTCAGGTCAGTTCTAGCTCAGTGGGATCTGGACATGTCTGAACTGCACAGTGTCTTCAGCAATAGGGACCAACCATCCATCTCTGACAAGCAGCCAAGGGCAAAAGCAATAGCTTGGAATGGTTTGGAACTATTTTGGACAACCTTGAACAGAAAATCAAAAAAGATTTTCTCATACCTGATATTGTAGTTTTTGTCTGGTGGTCTTAGGCTCTTTGACAGAAGCATTGTTAGCTCAGATGAGAAAATTCCAATTAAATCATATATGTATATTTATAGACAGGCTTGTGTGTATTAGGGGTTTTTTTTGGCAGCCAGTTAATAGTATGATTTTTTATGACTTTTTCCAACATCCTTGCTGTTATTTCATCCCATTCCTACCTTCTGCGTTTATCTCCTCCTCTCCATAATTAGGGACCCATTCCCATTTCCCCTCTCTATTGCTCCCCAACCCCTCCTCTCAATGGTTCCCTTCCCATGTTCCTGCAGTTGTTCAGGGCTTTGTACTCTCATCTGAAGAATTGGAGCCAGGAGCCTCTGATGAGCAATCATGAGTCACCTTGCTCATATGATCTTTGCTCGTTGGGTACAGTACCTGCAAAGTTCATGATTTCGTTTCCCTTCACAGTTGAATAACACCCGTCATATATATGTACCATGTTTTTGTTGGAGGATATTTAGGTTGTTTCTATTTCCTAGCTGTTACAGCAAAATGTTTTCTCAAAAATGAATGTAAGATACCAATCATATGGCATGAGCCCATCAAGGGTAACTGGTACTCAGGTCCTCTGGCTAATGTAGAGGACAGGGATGCATCCCTCAAGGCCGAGTCTCTTCTCTCATTCATTTCCAGTGTTAGACAACAGTATGATTATGTACTAACATGACTCTGATTAAAGTCAGTGTGCAAAAGCTTCAGCTTGTCCCTTGCAGAGTCTGGCACACCTCTGCACTTGTATAGGTTTGGCTGATCACACACTCAAGGATCACCTGAGCTATCCATTGTGTGTGTTAATGCTGTACACTCTTTTTCCTCACACCTATGTTATAAACATAAAGAGTTTCATAACATGTGATTGCTTAGGTTCAGCTGCAACCTGCATTCTGCCTTGTGGTGGCAAGAGCAGAGGCTGGAGATGAGGATTTAAGAGGAGAACTGAATTGACAGCCTTACTTTTAAAACATGTTTCCCACATGTGGCATGTTGTTCTAGGGAGAAAGGATGTGGGATGCATTTATTAATTAACTACATTTTCATATTAAAACTCCTTTTTGAGTAACTAGTTGACATCCTTAGCTACTGTGCTACCCAGACAGACACAGTTCAGCCATTGCTTGCTGTTCTCACTTACAGATTACAGACAATATCCAATTTTATCCCAAGTCTCCTTTGCCTGTGAATTAGAAACTTTGTCATCATGGCCAAAAATAACTTACAAGTGAAGGAAGGGTTTGTTTCTCTGCACGGCTTCACAGAAGTTCATCAAGGTAGAATCACAGTGGCAGAGTAGAGTTGCTCAAACCATGCAAGGTCAGGAACAGAAAAATGGGTTGGTATCACTCTTGCTATTTTTCATTTTCCATCTTATTCTGGCCCATGAGATGATCCCACCCACAGTCAGATGGTTGGGGACCACTCAGTTCCTCCCCTGAAAATGGCCTCACATGCATACCCAGAGGTGTGCCTTCAACATCTCACTTTATTCCAAACCCAATTTGACAATGAAGATAACCATTGCAAGTCCACACCTTGCTCACTTGACAACCAAGTATGTCATTGTAAATGTGAACATTCTGCACCCAGAAAAGGCTCATGCCCATTTCACAATGCAAAGCACGTTCCATTTCATGTTCACATTTTAAACGTTCCATTATTTTTAAAAATGTAGGCCCAGATCGCAACAGATTCAAGGCACTCTATTAGTTTTGAGCCTGTGCAAAAGCAAAAGCAAAACTACATGCTTTCAGTATAGAATGGCACAAAAGAATTATCACCATTTCTAGAGGGGAGATTAGAGACACAAAAAAGAAAAAAAGGTGACAGAGCAAACCTGAAATGCACCAAGGCAGGCATGGAGTTCCGTGGTTCCGTGGGTAGCATCTAGCACATGCAGCACCAGCATGCATTCCTCCCTACTCATAAAGCCTTGCATAGGCAACCCACATGGCCTCTGACTTAGAGCAGCTCTATTCATTGTCCCCTCTTTCCTCTGCAGATGTCCTATATTCCAAACATCTCCAGTATCCCAGGGTCTTCACTGCAGCCTAAGCTTCATCTACACAACTTCATATGTTACCTCAGTGCTCAGAGACTCCTCATTACAAATCACCTGACTTCTCAAGGCTTTCTTTAAAAATATTAGTAGAAACTTCCATGATGTCTTAATTCCTGCATTGTACATACCTAAAATGTTAGCAGCATGGGATGATGCCATGGTTTGGTGACATCCGGAACACATCTGGGCCTTTGTGAACTGCAGCTACAGCAGCCACTGAGCACCTGGGAAGCTGATTTTCCCGGTTGACCCTGTGAACAGAGTATCACAGACACACTCTTTCTCCAGGGAAAGCCTTCAAGTGAGTTTACAGTGCTGTACTCCAGATCCTAGGATAGGTGATATCTGGCTGTTCCGAGTCATTCTCAAGCAAATCTAAAGTAGTTAGTGTCCTTTAAATGTAACTAGTGTTTGTTTTGTAAACTTTTTGTGTACAAGTGTCAACCCTCTTCTTCTCCCCCCCAACTACACAGTTAAAACGCTCCTGCTGTGTCGTTTGCTCTTGATTATCACGTTACATCTTGTTGCAAGCATCCAATAGGAGACACACCCAGCCTGAAGACTAACTTACCTTGGCATTTGGATGGCTAATGACTTTTCATTCTTTATTCATAGTCTCAGAATCCAGAAACAAAACAAAACAAAACACGAATTATTTGTGAGAATGTAGCTTCAAGTCAAAATCCTGACAAGGTCCTCGATCTAGTCAGAAGTCTCACATTTATTTCCTTCATTTCTGTCAATGATCTACATCCTCTGTAACCTGTGTCTACAGACATTTCCAACTACCTCAGGCAGACCAGTTCCAGAAGCCTACCCACCTGGTCAGGTTTAGTATTTATTTCCTGTACTAGCTCCTTTCTGTCACAATTACCGAAATGGCCAGCATAAGTTAAGGGCTTGTCAATAAAGTGTTCCGTGTTCAGTCTCGCAGGATGATTCCTGTCTGCAGCTGGGGAGCAGCAGAAGGTGTGAAAGGTGTTGATGCTCTCTGCCTTTCACCACTTCCTCTCTTTATTCTTTTCTAGATCCCATCCTGTGCAGCAGAATTATTTACATTCTGGGTATCTTCTTTATGCACACAGTCCCTAATAAACTAACTAACTAACTAACTAACTAACTAACTAACTAACTAACTAAACACTGTTACAGTCACACCAAGAGGAGAATCTTGGTATCCAGGTTATTCTAAATCCATCTAGGTTAGCAGTGAAGATGATTAACCATCTTCATTTGTTCAAATGAAGAGGCAAAAGGGCATCATCAGTATCCCCATCCACCCAACCCTTCCTTCTTGGTCATTTTAGGATCCAGATTGATGCAAATCTGCAGAAGGTGTGGCTTAGACACATGGTTTGTCTGCAGTGTAGGAAGGCACTCACAGACAGAATCTCTCAGGTTTAAGGCATTCCTTGTTGAGGTAGAAAGAATTACTGAGACTTTCCATAATCACCATAACACACTTGCCCACAGTCACTGAGAGGCAGTAGCAATATGCACCAGAAAATCTCCTCACATCTCAGGCTGGATGGACACTGGTTC